GTAGTTATATCTTCTTTTGTGTTTAGTTTGTCTTCCTTCTGCTCGATAATCACATTTTCATATCAATAAACTAGCTGGACCCAACTAATCGTGTAAGGATAAATAATTGTCTGGTATAAACATTTTAGTGATGTTGTTTTACTTTATTGTATATTGTGTAGCCTGGGTATAATTCCTAACAGAAAACTAATTTCGCTTATTATTACAAGAAAATTTGTGTATAATTTGAACAATAATCGTGGAATATATCAGCATAAAGAAGCCACATTTTCGCTGGTCACAGTGACCACGAGGTCTGAGACATGGGCCTTGTTCACTTGGACAGTGGGACCATGGGTTTTAATCCCACCCAAGGCATGGATGTTTGTCGGCGTCTTTCTGTGTTGTGCTGTCCTGTGTGCGACGGGCTGGTCACTCGTCCAAGCAGTCCCACCAGATGTCTAAATAGATTAAGAAACCTCCCATGTATTAGAAGACCAAGGTCCTTCAATGACTGTAGAGCCACGCAGATAACCCCAATTTTTATGAAAGGAATATGATTTATATAAATTTATGCAAGGAAACAAACTTTTAGTGAAGGCCTGTATTTAATTTGCATGCTAATATTTCTGGTTAACTTACAGTGCACGCTTTTTGTAATTTTGTTGAAGGACTTATAAGTAACTTGTTCATTTTAGTCATCGCTTATTGAGAAACCATTTTATAGCCTACTCTTGTGTCAAAGTAACACTTGAAGAATCTTGGTCATCCTGCTGTGTGACTCTTGTAACACTGCCAAGTCGCGTAGAGATAAAAGTCCCAGATGCGAATCTTGAATGTTACAAGAACGACAACTGTTTCACTCCGTAATAAAATGACTGAAAGTGAAATGTAATTATACATTTGGGCTAATTTTTTAGTATTTTATATTTATAAGGTTGAATACCAACTAGGGGGTACAAATCATGCTACATCAGAAATTTCTACCATTTTGTATTCGTCAATTATCCTTATACGTAAATTAGTTGATCTCTATTAATTTCAGGGTTTTTTGTTAAAATATTAAATTCCGTATATTTTGCAGGCAAGTTATTGTTTGTAATTACAGTTTCTAAGGCATCTAATGATGGGAGAACTCTGTAGGCATACTTAAAATTACTGCGAATTCTGGCGGTTTCGTGTTGTAGGCCACCGAGGCCTTTCCCACGATTATAGACCGCCAATGACACACAAAAAACAAAATCTTAAGTTCCTATTTACAGAATTTTCGAGTTACGGATAAGGATAAGGAGAAACTTTCTCTTTAAAGACTTCGTGGCACAGAATGAGAGAACAGTTACCAATATTTTTAAGTAGACAGGTGTGTGGAACTTTTGCATCATAAGTTGTGTGGTGGGTTTGCATATAACCTTTATGGCTGAAGTTCGCGAAGCTGACTATTGTGTTAAAATAACCTGTTTTCTATTTCTGGCAGATGTTGATTGACGGTCGGTACTGATCTTTGAATGTTTAATCGAACCGCCGCTTTGTCTCAGTCGTTTGTCGCCGATTGCACTATCGATAATGCTCCTAAGCAACTCACATTTTCGATTCGAAGACAACATTAATGTTTGCACATGTGAAAAGTGGCAGCTCAACAGGAGTTTCTTTTTCGCAATAAACAAAATTTCTTTGTGATGCTGAAACATTGCTATGTGCAAACCAACAAACATTATTCTTGTCATAATGTCTTTGAAGCAACTTCACAAAATCAGCTAGTTGACAAGTAATTAATTCTTCAGTGCTTTCGTGTGTTTTATATGTTTCACACTAAATTGGTAATTTGTATTTTTGAATACTTACAAATAGGAAATACGAAATACAGAACGCGTAAATTTGCTTCAAGGAGAGCAACACAACCGGAAAAATAAAATTAAACTTAATTTTTTAGTAGACCATTAAAAATTCTTTTTCAGTAATTCGATCCGCAAGTAAGAATTTTACATGCTGTAATATGTTCTAAGATTTCATAAAGGTTAATTAAATGTGTCTGTCACAAGTGTTATGTGGCAGCTTGATTTTCGGATTGGCAGTTTTGACAGAGCATTTAAATATCTAAATATACCCTAGCCTAAATACCGGACTGCACTTCCAGAAGACGAACTGTATATGCTGTCTGGTAAATGTAAAGTTGGCTTCCGACTACCGAGATGATTTTTACAAGAACTGAACAGATGTACTATTGCTTGCTGCGAAAGAGATGTGTCTTCAACTTCAGATGCAAAATAACACCGTGATGCAGGGTGCTCAGATGGGCAAGAAATTACCTCTTCATATGTAACTCGAAGACTTATTACCGTGTTCACAAGAGACTATTACATATTTTATCACAATGTACATTCTTAAGTGGTATATATGTACTGAATTTAATTTACACATAATCATTCTTGTCACACACTGAACATTTTAGAAGAAAGACTCTCAGTATGAACTTATTAGCTACTTAAAATAATGGCTGAAGCTCCCAATGATGAACTTTAAGGACCATTGTATGCAAGGCAAGTAGGCGGATAGTTTAACAATCGTGTCTGTTCTAAGATACAAATCATAAAAGGTGATTTAAAATCCGCTACGGAACTGTACCATATACAATATAATCCAGCCCCCCATCCAGGTATTCCAGAATTGCTGCTGCTCAATCGAAATAAATTGAAGTAAATCAACATTTAAGATATAAATGCTTAACATATTAAATTCATACATCTAGAATGTAAACGTAATATAAAATATTGCTATATGTTAACATGTTTATATTAATCCATCGTCTAGGTGTTAATAAAACCACAACGTTCCTGAGTTGCTTGTACCTGGACCAGGGGCTGCATACTAGTTCAGCCAAATGAAGACGGTACTAGTACCAAGTTCCGAAATGCTTTAGTTTTAATAAAACCTAGACGATGTATAGGGTTTAAGAAAGTTTAACAGAATATGTCTCACCATCTACAAAAACCTTTAAACTTTGACTAAATTATTATTATTATTAAATATTGGTTCCTGTTTCGTCACTTGTCACATACAAACTCTGCAGACTTTACGTCCCTGACGAGAAATGATAAATTCAATCGAAATGCAACATAAAGAGTCTTGGAAAATCATTCTATTCCTGCGGTGGAGCGTCAATCAGATGGCGCTGTCCGCAGTCTGATGTCACTGACTGCTAATGGTTTTCAGGTTACGTAAGTGGTTCCAGCATAGCTCCCTCCATGTGTAAACATGGGCGTTATTAAGGCCCAGGCTATTTCTTGTTTCGAGAGAACGCATTTAAACTCGGGGTGTGCGACTCTTTAAATAACTTGAAACTCCCGTGTGAGTCAGCTGAGATTTCGTCATAAAGCAGTATCTAAGTCGTATCGTGTTGGCTAAGTTTGTATTTTAAGTTTCTAAGTATCATACTAACAAATAACATCAGCCGCATTTGAACGTAGTATAGTAAATTCAAATCTAAAAGTTCGTGACGATGGTGAGTTATTTGAATAAAAATTTCCTTGGATATTTTCATTCGAATAGGAAATTCAGTTGATACCTCTAATACTGTTTTGTTAATATACATCTTAGTCTGTAACTAGGTTTCCTGCTACTACAAAGCGAAGTCAAACTTCCAATGTTGACAAGCGTCATTAAATGACCTACAGTACTTTACAAATTAAAAAATAAAGCGTCATTAAAGACCTACTTTACAAACTAGAAAATACAGTCCGAAAAGACTATATTTAATTATGTAATAAATTTTAAAATATACTGAATGATGCTTATGATTCAGTGTGGAACCGTCCTCAAACGGATGGCGATGTTTTCGCAGGAAAAGTTAACTGCATTTCCTAGCAATGATAGTATAAGCATAACGATGAGCCCAATTGTCTCTGGTCTGTTATGTTCTGTATACCACAGAATAAGGTAGTATTGGAAGGAACATTTGAGATATAAGAATTTAGACGTTTCAAAGCTGAAGT